AAATGTCCCTTCTGGCTAGAAAAGATAGCACAATACTAATGTATCTACCAGAAAAGTTACACATGACTACAGAAAGGACAATAAGAGACAATGAGTAGCTTGTTTGGCCCTTCAGCTAAGACTGTCAACAAATGAAAGACCTTCAGCATACGCAACACTATGTGGTGAAATCTTCACTGAGCAACCTGTCACAATTTGTACAAATCTGCCACCAGCTCTCACATTTCCCAGACAAGCTTTGATGTTAGGTCAAGCATCCCCTGACACAGAATTTCACTAACATACTCTGCTGACCCTCAAGCATCTCTGAAAACAGTGACAAAATCGGCTTGATACATCTGAGCCAAGAGGGACCCGCTTTGATTCCTTCCTGTCATTCCAATCAACACTTTTAGATGACAGAGGGACCATGCAAAGTGTTATAAGCCACTGGCATGGCACCACAGCTGTGTTTCCATGGGATCCCTCTCTGCTCTCATACAACCCAAATGAGAATATATTAATAACACTGCCACCGCGACAAGCCAAGTGTCTAGGATCCAAACTCATTTTCACTGTATCAGAGGGTTCATGCATAATTATCCGCTTCATAGACCTGTGATACTTGCCTGCTGCAAACTTAACATCCCCAAAATTGGGCGGGGGTTAAAAAAAAATCTGCTTCCTCTTGGCACCCTCCTGTCTCTCAGCCTCAATCCCTAAAACAAATGTGACACATCAGAGACATGTGCCATCCTGAGAGACAAAAGCTGCTAGTTCACCCCTGGTCGGTCTTAACCCAGAAAGCACAATAAAATACTGCAAATTGAAATTTCTCTACCCGGTCAGACAGATCTTTTATTAATATTTTATGCTCTTGCACAATGCAAACTAGTTCAATTCAAACACGTTCCCTGCCACACCAAAACAAAAGGACATTTCAAGCATAAAAACCAGGTCAAAGGGTTTGATTCTATGATTAACTAAGGCTGAATAAGATCAGCAGCTACATCAGCTATTTAACACAACAAGAGCAGAGTTACAGGCCATAACAATGCACTTGAATAAACAATAGGTTGGTTACACAGCTTGAATCCCAATTGCTCTGCTCAAGCAATTGTTTCTGACAGACCGAGGAGAGACGCCACACATCCTAATCATCCTGATGATTTCATTAGGCCTCCCCCTCTGCTGCAATGATTGCCTCAGGAAGAGTTCAGATAAAGAAGCATGCCACAAGTTTTCAGACTGACCTCAGGGGACAGCATTCAGTAGCCTTGTGTGCCAGGGATCCTTTCCTGTGAGCATTTGTCACAGGATGCTGGCAGTCAGGTAATGAATCCCTCAGGAGCGGAGTGGCCTGGTTGAGTTAGATCCTCCTAGCCTAGTTTAACAGTCTATCAGAACAAACGAATGGTTACAGCAAGTTCTGAAGCAACAGGGGTTCGGCAAGGTGCAGCATCTTCACACTGATGAAATGAGCAATGGGGGCTGATGAAGTTCAGCATTCATGCTGTCAGGCGGGAGGCTGAGCTCAGTGGAAGAGAGGGTGGCTTTGTCAGCTGATTTCACTTTTAACTGCGTACCTGTGGTGTGTTCTGACATGTTGCAAAAAACCAATAAATTTTTATAATACGCCCTCTGTTGATCTGTTTTCAAATGGGAGCGCAATAAAAATTCACACTACGTCCTTGTGCCTGGTGGTTTTGTTTGACTAAAGTGTATCATGTACTTACCATGATACATTATCTGAATCTGGGCTTTTTATCAAATCACCCTGCTCATTTCTATGGCTTCTATCTCCTCTGGATGTGACTACCTGAAAAATGAGATGCCAAAAAGTAATCTTTTAGAAGCAAGAAATGATTTTTCTCTCACTCTGTTGTGATAAAGGTTGTAAACCTTTGTCAGGGTTGTTAAACCGAAGCGTGAATCTCCTCCCTCTCTCTAATCACAAAGGCAGAGGCAGTAAACTGCGCATTTCCCACTCATTACTAACCTGCTGCACTTGGATGTGCACTGTGACGAGCCAAAGAGAAGCACAGAAATAAAATGTATTTGTTAAATGAAGATCCATGTGTCAAGCCTTTAGGGACCTTGTGGTTTTTGTCTGTGCACACTCATTTCTAAGAATGTACTTCACAGTGGAACCACAGAGTTAAAGTCCCAGCTTCCCTTAAGCCATTGTGTCTGGCTACTCTGAGACGGTCTGTTAAGCTGTGATACAGAGAGGGCACACTGTACAAACCACAAGGATTCACTTTTACTGCTTTGTTCATAATTAAAGCAAAGCACATAGACAACATATGAAATATTCATCAAAGCTGCTTAAATATTAATTAATGAACACAATCATTACTGCCCCATAAAAGGTGTGATAAAGTCTTTAAAATCACCTGGAGACCACCGGGCCTAACCCACTGAACTGTATTCACTGGCATATGTTCGGCATGGCAGATGTACAGTAGGAACAGAGGCCACTTGAGTCTGAAGAACCATCTTATCGTTGCATTGGAGAGCAGCCCTCGCACCTAAGAAGCAGATGCTCTGGGCTCAGCTCAGCGCTGACCTGTGAGCAAACCCACTCAGAGGCATAGACAGGAAACAATGTGTTCTCACGGCGATATGCCTTTATTTTGATAAGGCGCTGTCTGCTCCAGTCCCTCCAGTCTGTCAGGGGGCTTGCTGCCGTACTGGCAGAGGGTTATGAGAATGCCTGTAAGGCTGCACACCGCAATTCAATTCCATGTATGCTGCAATCTCAGACCTTTCAGGCTTGCTAAATCAATTACACAGAGTTGTGGAGCCTGTGCCTCTCACCCACATGGCACCCATTGTTTCTGTTTGCTTCATCTGGATGGGCCAAATACACACTTACTGATATGTGGGAGGAATGGCTGCACGCATGGGTGTGTAGCCCATGTCGTGTTTGACTTTTGAGCTGTCCAGTGCTTGATCGCTGAAGCTGCCCTCAGAGGTTAGACCTGAGTTACTGTAGCAATCTCCATAGGTCACAAAGAAGAACAGGCAGGACCTGATGTCTGCACATCTAAAGCAGACAATGTTTCAAGGGCCAGTGAGAGCTGGAATGATATTTTTTTCTTCTCTGTCAAACTGTGTCCTGGAGCCAGTATTGGTTTGGAGAGACATTAATGACAAACAAAAGAGCTGCAGATCAACATAGCCTGAGGGCATCAACACAGACTGCAGCATAAGGTCTGAGGAAAAAAAACAAGTGTGTACCAAGAGGGAAATAACACAAGTCCAGCTGCTACTCACAACAAATGCCCCACAGTAGATAAAAGACATGCACACACACAACCTAAGCTTCACAGTCCACACACAAGCTCATCACAGACACACACTCTTGTTCAGTTCTTCACACATTATGTTAATTACATAAGCACAGAGTCCTACAATAGGGTTAAATGATGTCCCTCCTCACATCTGAGCCATCCTCTGCTTCACAAAGGTTGACTGACTTGGGACTAATTCATTTCCAAACTAGGCAGCGCTCAGAGAGCACAAACCTCCACCAGAGCATCTCCAGTTCCCCATAATGCCATTAAAAAAAAGTGATCTGGGATGATGACCTGGATCACCACCAAAATGTAAAAAAGTCTTTGGTGAGCCATACCCCACCTCTCCAAAAAACATTCATCAAAATCCATTCAGAACTTTTTTTTGTTAAGCTGTGAACAAACAAACGGCAGCAAAAACTCCTTGGGAGAGGTAAATATATAAGGCCACATATAAAATATATGAAGCCACCTGCAAGAGCAACAGCAATACTGGGTTTCTTGAACTACTTCACAATTTCAAAGTAATGACAAAGCAGTGTTTTCAAGGAGATAAACAATCATTTCCACCTCTAAATAACTGCCTGAGGGAATGGAAATTTAGATGAATACAGATGACAGAGAAAAACGATGGCAGCAGCATATTTAGTTGACAGATCTCTGTCCTGTGGCTGTAGGTACACTCATTTCCGAAATCTCTACAGGATCAGTTTCAACAGCAGCACACAAGGGAACATCATCATGCACATAACACTAATGTATGCATAAGGTACAGATAAACACCGTGGGTGAGGGCAATATGAGGCACAGCTGGGGATGCCATGGAAACATTAATTAAAACCAATTTGCATAAGAAACGTTACAATTGTTCCAACTGTCCTTCTCGACCTATATAAACCCACTATGTGTTGCAGCAGCGTTGTGGCTCCACCTACAGCCCCACCCTATCCAGCGAGGCACTTGTCATCTTCGTTGAATTTTGGGATTTGGGGGCAGAGGAATTCCATTAAAAGGCACTGGACAACGTGGGAGGAAATGTTTACTGCAAATTTTGGTCCTGTGGTTTCAGTGACAAACCAGTGTCGTTTCAGGAGCTACAAAGCTTCAAACAAGGCTCGCTGCCTCAGGGGAAACCTCACAAGCACGCAAACAAACTCTATGAGGGTGACATCTCCTGTGGCACGCGATTTGGCGCGCTCAAAACTCACACACACACACACACACACACGCCGTGGACCCAAGAGGCTCACTGGGGGAGAAGGGGATTTACCTTAAAAGACACCAAGCCCTAAGTCTTTAGGGGTAAAAACGTAAAAGTTTAGAGATGGTCAGATTTGTAACGCGTTGTTTAATTGAGATTGGGGAAATTTATAGACACTGTTGTGATGGCAATGCAAACTAGGCGTTGAATAATTTTTAATTCAAAAGGAAGCCTCTAAAATTTGAAAATATTCCACTTGTATATGTCTTTATAGCAGAGCGATGATTTTACCTCGCCTACTGCGTTGTCATTTTACCTATTGTAAACTTTTTAGGCCTAATTCTTCCAAAAAATGGTTTTGACACATAGTAACGTTAAGGCTTTGAGGGGTTTTTAAGCACTCAAATATTTATTGACACGCCCATCATAATAGAGTCCATTCTTCTCGCGGCAAAACGCATCCAAAGCGCGCACAGCTCCACAAACCTGACGCAGAGATGGCAGCATCGGAGTGGACTCACCTGCATGACACGGTGATCTCCACTTTGGTGGCCGGTATGCTCCCACTGATGGTGTCGAAGTCTCGGACCGTCGCCGTGGCCTCCACTTTGTCCATGACGTCTCCCTCCATGCGCGCGAGACCCAGGCCAGCTCCCGGGGCCGCGCGAGTGACTCTGAACGTGGAGAGCCGACGGTGGAGAACCGGAGCGCAACGAACGATCGAGCGGATACGGTCCAAACAAACCTCCTATGTGCTCTCCACTGGATGAGCATGGAAAGTTTAATGGGAAGCTGCAGCGGCGAGGCGGCTGATGTCTGTAAACTGGGATCACATGCCAGGACGCATCAGCGCCAACTCCGCTGTTTTCCAGGCAAAGAATGAGCTCTTCTGCCAGAGGAGCGTTTGAAAAGTAAAAGCTGTGAACTCCACCCCTCCTGTCTGCATTCTCCTACACGCAGGGCTGTGACTGGCACTCGTTGTAGATTCATGCTATTGATCTGTGGTCCGGGGGTGGGGGGGATCATCATTTTGGTCCAAATTAGTTTTAATGGCCTCTAACAAATGAGAATATAGCTTTTGATTTATTTTCTCCCCTCTCCTTTTAGAACAAGTGGATATGGGTGAAACGTTTTGATTGAACTAAACAAGCAGTTTTCTTTTCGTGCTGGTTTGGTTGAAGGAAGCTCCAATGGGAGTTCCCTGCACAAGTAAAATTACCGCTGACAAAATAAAACAGTCAAACTGAACCTTTACTTGACATGCAACGGATGAATCGTTTATCTAGTGTTAAAATTACCCTTATCAGTTCCAGAGCCACTAGCTCTTCTTAGGAACTGAAAGGCAACTTGGTGCTACAGTGTTTCAGCACCTGGACAGCTCCAAAAACTCCAGCTTCAGTCGCAGCTTCCATTCCTGTTTATTTTGCCAATAAAACGTGACGTTTGTTTTCCCTTGGCACCCATTCATCACTGGGAGACGCTGCCAGGGGAACTCCATCTCCCTCTCATCGTTTTTACGACTGAACAGCCTAGTGAAATGTGGAGGAATTCAACCTGTTACATGAAAAATTCTAAAGAAAACTGCTGTGACATGACAGCAGGTTAAAACATATTAGGGTTATGGTAAGAGTTGGGAGTAGGCATTTAGTTGTGATGGTATGATAAGTGGCTGTATTATGTCTCTGTTCACAGAGATGGCTGTACAACCGTGAGTGTGTTATTTCTCATCAATCACTGGACCAACTACCAGGAAATCTCTGAGAAGGGAACCACTGTGCAGAACAATTGTTTCCATCTTGTAGAGTGCTTTTTAAGAAATCACTCTACATCACTCCCCACGTCCCCTGGAACTATTCACACAGTTATCAGTGGTAAAAAACTACCTGCTCTCACATAAAAACTCTCTCCAAATCATCTACACACAATTATACAGCCAGCCTTGTGAGCTATGCTGTGCACTTAAATTCATAGAAATGTTCCATATGTATATTCACTCATGCAGCCTCAGAAATTACACATGGCCCGTGCTACAGGCTGTCCATCTCTCTCCAGGCACTGTGGGAGGTCTAGCTACATTTACACACCTAGGAGTGGGACTTGAGCTGATTGGGCAATGAGGGCTACACATTTTGGACACAGCTTCATCAGTAGTCATGTTCACTCAGTAATCAGATCCACAGCGGCCCTTAGTTGGTGGATTTTCCGCTCTTCTCAGTGCGCTGTTCCCCACCACCTGCAGAGAGGTTCCCTTCCGCACACACCCCACATGCTATAGCTGTGGTAGGAGTGTAATTATATGAACCCTGTTGTAACCCTCTCTGCAGGGAGTGTGTGTATGTGTGTGTGTGTGTGTGTGTGTGTGTGTGTGTGTGTGTGTGTGTGTGAGCAGTGGTACCACTCAGATCTGCTCAGCATCAGTAGAGGGAGGAGGGAGGAGGTACAATCTCCAACACCGCTCATGGTCTGCAGGGACAATTAGCCTACAGCAACAAGAAAAAAGGTTTATAGTTACTACATTTACAGTAAGTAGTTATGGAGAAGGTGCCCACCTAATGACCCTGTAGACTTGCCTGCACTCTCACACCCACACAAAATTTAAATTAGGGTTGCTGATATCCACCCGTCGCAAGGGGGTTGGAGCCAATCCCAGTTGACACTGGTCAAGAGGGGCTTACTGATAATATTATTAGAACTTTTTCAGAGGGGCTGCTATTAGTATAACTTTTTCTGCTTGGCGTAATAGTTGTAATCAACATATAAATTGAAAATGGTTCATTTCACATATTTGCAACCTCCCCCTGCATGTTTATATTACAAAGATACTGTTCGGGTCAATTAGACCCTGAACAGAAGAGGTGTCTCATGTTTATTTATCAACATCACTTCATCAAAAGAAAAGATTTCAAAATGTTAAAAAAAATCAATGTCATGTAAAAATAATGTATTTTATATGTAGGTCTTTCCAATGTACATTAAAAAAGTTTTTACATGCATTTTTTTATAGAAAAAAATGAGTGCATTATCCTCATTGAACCATAATCTGTGGGAGGTAAAGAACACCATTGCACTAAATAGTGATTGAAATGGTTAGAAATGCTAAAATTAACCTAGGAACATCACTGCTGTTCCTGAGAAATGAACATAACAGGTGGGTTAAGAAAGGGTCGTTATACCTAACACTGACAGCCATCTTGGTCTCTGCAAGCAAACAGGGGGCTTGGGCTGTCCTGTGACTGTATTTATCAGTCTGCATTTTGCCCGTGTAATGGTGTCTATGCGATCATTGGATGTGCATTTTAGGTTAGGACTGGAAAGTGGTGTTGCTCATTATGAGGTCCTGAAGATTTATGACAGCATGGCCTGAGTCCCCTCTTTGGAGCCAAATGATGGGTCAAGCATCATTAAACCTGGAACTCCCATAGCTATGCTCATTGATTCTGTGGCACATTTAATTGTGTATTGGTAAGTGTAACTGATTATTTTCAGGAAGTGCAGTTTTCCTTTGGTACAACTTTGTAGCACTCAGCAGTTTTAAGGAAAAACATATTCTGTTACATTAGGTTGACAGCGGTTAGGCTACTATGTAACACTTTATAGGCCTATAATAAAAATATGATGGATGGGTATATACTATAGCCAATCGATATACACTACTATAATGCTAGTGTGTATATTTAACATTCGTATCCTATCACCTGGAGCAGACTTTAAGAAAACATTTTGCATTCTTCTCAAGAGCTATGGTGAAAACACTGATACTATTCCCGTGTTTGTAGAGTAAAAATGAAGCTGCAGGTTTATCTTAACACAAAGGCTTTCAGTTAATGTCTTGCTAGCAGAGTCCTCGTGTCCAGACTTTGTGTGAAGCTAAGACTTCCTAGGTCTATATATCCATATTTAACAAAAGTGGGATCAACACAAAAAAAAAACAAAAATATGGCACCATACACATCACTATCGGCATAGCCTAACCATAATTTGCCGCAGCTCTTCGCTACATATAAACTAACTTACAGTGCCGTTCACTGACATTACTCAGCTGCTTCTGCCACCTACTGGCAACAACAGGTATCACACTAGCGCCATTTTACAGTTTTTCAGCGACTTTAGATTGACACTGGGTATTTAAGAATATAATGAAAAAATAAACATATACACTAATAAAGGAAACTCCTGCGCTGGTCGGATAACTCTCCGCTGTTTTAAACTGCTTTGCAGCGCTGTGTTAGCCACATTCATGGCCTCAGGGATTTGGTCACATTCCCTTGCAGCGCTGTGTTAGCCACATTCATGACCTCAGGGATTTGGACATATTCCGCCTACAACATGTGGTTTTACCTGTTACCCTGCAGTGCGTTGCTCCTCAAAACGTAGCTCAGTAAACTCAGAGCTGTTTGCAAGCCTCCGAAATAATAATAACCTATTTGTCTGGTATGAACCAAAATTTACACTCAACAATTATTTTCACAAACTATATGATTTGCTTTTCTTCTTCGTTGGTAAGTAGCCTATGCTCGCGCTGCAGTGTTGCCAGATGAGGCGGATGAGGATATCTACAACATTTACTTAAGCAATTATCTGGATATTTGTTCCACTGAAGAAGGTTATGATGTACAGAAAAGCATTTCATGAGAGGGGAGAGAGAGAATTTGCAGCATGTGCATCTGGATGCTTCAGGCATTTCCTATTTAATGAAAAGCCTTAGAATAAAGACTGAGCGCACACAAAACCATCTTCTTTTCTCTGCAGAAAATATTCAATGCATCTCCTTTGAAATGAACATCTGCGAAGCTACATACTGTAAATGTACCGTGAAATAATGGATATGAATTCTCTACATGATTGTTGCCAGTAGAGGAATTTTGTTGGTTTTAGTTTTATGTTTTGTTTCAGTTTTCACCATCTCTGGTGAAAAGCAGACCCTTTTCAAGGACAAGTCTGTCAACTGTGGCAAAGTTTGTGTTCAAGCAGACAAACCTACTGACTCCTGAATGAATGCATTTAATTTCAGTATGTCTCTTTTCCAGCTGAGAATAAATAGCGTTATGATGCTCAGACACACAATTTAGCAGCTGAAGGCAGACATTTGCAGCCCACTGGTATCAGACAGCAACAGTGGAAAATCACAAGTAACATACTGACAGAGGAACATCTTGCAGTTACCAAGATCTCTTCTGTTTGTGCTTTTTGTCAAGCAACTTTTCATTTATCTGCTATTAGGCATTTTTTCAGTGATTCTTTATGTAACTGTTCCATAACTCCATTCATGTTTATTTTTCTCATTTTTAATGGAACATTTTTGGTTTAAACATTTTGTGCAATTATGAAAAGTTCAGTGTTGATAGATCAAGAACTATACCAGTGTTTCAACTGCAGGAACCAGAAACTAAATTTAGTTTCTCTACAATAATTTCAGGTGTGAAATACAGTCCTGGTCTAGGGGTATTACTCAGTGACTCTCCAGAAACTGCAAGGTCTCCAACAAGGAGGAAGACAGAGAACCAAAAAGTTGGCTAGGGCAAAGGTCATAAACAATGGCAAGGAAATAACACAAGAAATATACCAAAAATAACCTTAAGAAAAAAGCTCTGTTCTCATTCATCCATGATATAAATCAACAATGCTCCTGTGCTGAGCTGGAAACCCATTTGTCATTCTCCACTTCGGATGATCCCGTCACTTTGTCAGCGCCTTGGCTTCTCTGAAGACAGGGACACGGGGAGCATTAAATCCCTCAGTCACAATGATGTTCAGGTTACAATGTGAGGAACAGTAGTCATTCTCCAGTCATACATAACAGTACAGAAAACAAATGAACTCATCTGAAAAGCAATGTTTAGTGCCGCACTGCTCCACTGCACACAGAGTTTCATCGAGCATGCAGGGAGCAACGGTGTGAGATTTTAGCTCATTCATCTTTTGTGTGAGAGAGAAAATGAAGAGGTGAGACAACGACAGGGCATCACAGGACAGAACATTTTATGTTGGGGATGTGCATATATGCCTGACAGTTCCAGTATGTATCTACATCACTGTGTAGAGACTCGCCCGTTAACTCATTGAACACCATGAAATATGATGTTTGCAGGTGCTCCCACCGCCATCACTGAAATACTGGAGTGTGGTGACAGGAAACAGTGGACTTGTAAAGTGGAGGTATTTCTTGTTATAGAGTGCAGATATGTGTACTGTATGTTCTGGCTGCAATCTCATGCAGAATTCACACAGTTAATCTCTTTGTGGTGTGAATCTCAGAAAGCCTCCAGTGATAATGAGTGTAGATTATGGTCACAGGTACAGTTGCAGTTATGTAAGTATGCTTTGAAAAGCTCAGGATCACTGATTTGGTCCTCTGTGGTTTTGCTGTGAAGTGCTGCATATGTAACATGGGATAATGCATTCAAATCCTTTTACTTCAAAAGGAAAAAACAAAGAAATCATAGGATTTACCGAGAGCTGTCAAGCATGCAAGAATGATAGAACATTTCATAATTCACAAGTGTGATTGGAAGCTGGAGAAAAAAAGTCTTGCTCATTTTAATAAAAATAATACATGGGGTGTTTCGTCATATCTTCTGACAGATCAGTTGGTTAGGTATCTGTGACAAGACTCTGCTGTTTGGCACACAGGTCTTTTCTCTTCCACCTCACATTGAAACAAACTTTAACTTTAAACTGAGCTTGTTGGGCCAATTGTATTATTAATGCTAAGGTTATAAACCAAAGTGATTTCTTAGTAGTAAAGGTCCTCTCCTCTCCTCCCCTACCCTCTCCATTTCATTTTTATATGCCACCATTACATGTCACTAACTGTGTATCTCCTCTCTCCTGTAGTGTCCTCTCTCTCTCTCTCTCTCTCTCCTTGTGCCTTTCTGCAGGTATACCTGGCTCTGGATCTGTATGTTTCTGATGAGCAGTTACCTGCCACATTAACCTGCCCAGTGTTGGTTTGTTTGTTGTGTCCTGAAGCTTTTCTTTCTTTTCCTCCATCCACTCACCCCAACTGGCTGAGGCAGAAGGCTGCCCACTAAGACCCTGGATGTGTTGGAGGTTTCTTCCATCAAAGAGGGTTTTTCCTCCTAACTGTTGCCAAGTGCTGGCTCTAGGGGGATTTTCCCAATAATACCATAAGGTCTAGACCTCACTATGTAAAATGCCCTGAGATGATTGTTTTTGTGAACTGGCACTGTAAAAATAAAACTGAATTGCACCGAATTTGTCTTCACAGAATTGGAAGGGTTTGCATATATTCTTATTACAAATTACAACATTAAGAGCATCTCTGAGCTCTGCCAACACGTGACATCACTATACGCCATCTTTATAGAAATGTCTTTTTCACACTCTGTTTGCCGAGCAAGCAGATCAGTGCATCCAGTTGCCCTAATAGACAGAAATGGTCCCCAGAGAAGTTATTTGGGGGCTCCTTGGCTGGATGAGCTGCCTTCCTCTGAACACCAACAGCCCATAAATTTGTTAGTGACATAATCTAGAAAAGTTGAGGTCCTTCACATCTGTATGCCCCTTGAGAGTTTCTCTGAGTAGCACGGTGTTGCCACATGTCCCCTTGCTTCACTTCACAGGCAACTCATCATCCACCAGCAGCCTGACCTAGATCCATTTATCCCCACTGCTCACGTCAAATACATATTCATTAGGCTCTCTTAATCATAAGACAGCCCCTTGAGTGGAAGAGAAAGCTTTCTAATTAGCTGCTATCATCCAGTGGTAGCTCACAGGGCTGCGTTTCTCTTGCCTTGCCAGATGTTTTTGTCTCAGTGTGTGGCTGCAGTCTATACAGGCTCCAGACTGGCTGTCACCTGACATATCCGTGGCCAATTGTAAAGAAGGCATTGTGATGAAAACCTGTGACTCTCATTCTGTTACATTATTTTTGGTAAAGTAAATACATGTAAATGCATCTTAGTACTGTTTGCTGGAAGACTCTTGCTGACTTTCATGGTTGACCAAAGGTTTTATTGACTGTAATCTAGGGTTTTGCAATGCTATCTGATACTGATGTCCTCTTCTGGTGATAGGGTTGAGTACTCACTTTGACTGGTAAATTAACTTTGGCATATAAAATTAGTGGAGTGCCCCTTTAAATAGCAGGTTATTTTCAGAAGGTCAGGCAGTCGCCTCACCTATGAAATGAATTCACAAGTATGAAATCTCTCTAAGTGAGCTTTGGGCAATCATCTGAGGTCAAACTTCATAAGGCACATCAGTGTTTTGACAGCTCCTGAGAGGACTGAGAGGATCCTTAAAAATATTATGTAACACAGTCAAGACAATCACAATTTTTAAACCCAGGAATTTTCTGCTGCAAAATAAAAGAGAGCTGCTCCTCTTCCAGGCTGAAGTTTGACAGAAACAGACATGTAGGAAGGATTAATGAAAAAAGTCTTAATATCTTCAAAAGGCTGCAAAAGTGAAAATGTCACAAAAACAAAAAAAGCAACACAAAACTGACAGGTCTGACCTGTTTTCCCCAGAAAGAATTCAGAAACACATTCTTGTCAGCAAACACAAACACATTTTTGAATTTTTATACTTGAAGACAGTTGTTCTCCCATGGTGATGAAGCCATAGCTAATTTATCAACCCTTAAGTTCTCCTCAGCTCTGCAAAACATTACTGAGTCTTTCAGCCCATTGTTTTGGTTTTCTGGCCTGAAACATTACTGTTTTAGTTCACAGTACACCACCTACTCAGCACCAAATGGCAGACAGCCAAAGTTAGACACTATATGGTGAAAAGCCAGACATTTTCCTCAGGAGGTGGTGGAAACCAAAACCAGAGCAAGCTGAGAGTTGCGTTTACAGCTTGTATCTGCTGCTCCCAAGTGGTCAGAAAATCAGAAATTGCAATTTTGAAAAAAAAAAAAAAACTCTAAGATACAGAGCCCAAAAGAGGAAAAACATTTTTCCTCCCTATGTCCCCTCCTGGGCTCTGCACTAAGTGAGCATTCAGACCAAGTGTAGGGGTGGTGTGAGTGGCTTTCATTCACATTTCCAGCATGTGGGTTTCCATTGTGTTTTGGTTAGCCATGCTGCTAACATAGCCTACTCCATGTTAGCACCAATTTCTACCACCAGTGTGTCCACATTGATAGTTTTAAAAAAGTACTGTTTAACATCCAGTACCCTAACTAATGAAAATGCGTGATGTGTCATTATGATGTGTTAATGACCCAAATTCGAAAGTGAAAAGCAGTGAAAAGCAGTGAATGCGCATGTGAATGCACATGTTAATAAGATAAACAAAAAGGTCCTCTTCACGTGGGTGTCCACGTTCCAACCGTCTAACATACGTGAATGGTCATGGCAGCACCTTTGCTAGATTATGCCACCCTCCGGTGCAGCAAGAGTTGAAACAGATCCAACATTTTCACAGCACGGGGCTGCATGTTTTGCCAGAGCCCC